TAGCCAGGCGTGGTGGCGGGCGCCTGTAGTCCCAGCTACTCTGGAGGCTGAGGCAGGAGAATGGCGTGAACCGGTGAGGCGGAGCTTGCAGTGAGCCAAGATCGTGCCACTGCACTCCAGCCTGGGTAACAGAGTGGGACTCCGTCTCAAAAATAAGTAAATAAATAATAGGCACTGTTTGTATGGGCCATTTGTGTATGTGTTTGCTTCTAAGGAAAGTTCACTGAGAGATCTTTTTGTTCTGTTTATTTGGAATTCAGTTTCCCCAACTAGTTGTTTACATCCATTTAATTGACTCACCATTTTAAGCAAATTTTACAAGTTAAGTGTCAAATAGAACATCAGCTTCAGTCATCTAATTCGTTACTTGAGGAAATTAAGTAACTGCCTGCCTGTGGTATTGATTTAGACAGTTGTTTTTGTTTTGTTTTTTTACTCAAGCATTGCCATGTTAATTTGCCAGGGCTGATTTTAGAAAGCATCACACAGTGGGTGGCTTTGACTGCAAAAGCTTATTTTCTGACAGTTCTGGAGACTGGAAGTCGAAGATCAAGGTGTAGCAGGTTTGGTTTCTTTTGAGGCCTCTTGCCTTACCTTGCAGATTGCATACGTCTTGCTGTGTTCTCACATGGTCTCTCCTCTGTGAGCACAAGTCCCTGAACTTTTTTCTAGACAGTCTTTAAAATGCATTTGGAGTATTTGCTTTAAACACATGTAAATAAAATGAGTACTATTTTAAGTCCTACAGGAGAATATGAAGTTTTTGTATAGGTAAGCAGTTTCTGGAAGTCTGATTGCGTGTGAATATATTACATAATACTGAAGTGTTAGCTGTAGAGCAGACAGTTCTGCTTTGTAGAGATCAACAGCTTGTACATTTATAATTGCTAGATGTGTCTAGTAAGTTCTAGTACCTCTAAAAAACTTTTAGAGGCCCGGTGTGGTGGCTCACACCTGTAATCTCACTTCTTTGGGAGGCCAAGGCGGTCAGATTATCTGAGGTGGAGTTCGAGACCAGCCTGACTAACATGGAGAAACCCTGTCTCTATTAAAAATACAAAATTAGCCGGGTGTGGTGGCTCATGCCTGTAATACCAGCTACTTGGGAGGCTGAGGCAGGAGAATCGCTTGAACCCGGGAAGTGGAGGTTGTGGTAAGCTGAGATCATGCCATTGCACTCCAGCCTGGGCAACAAGAGCGAAACTCTGTCTCAAAAAAAAAAAAAAACAAAACAACTTTGGGGGAAAATGTATTTTACATCCTCAATTATAAGTTACAGTTGTTTTTTTTAACCTTATGGCATTCTTTATTTTAGCTTTACCTTTTCTTTTTTTTTTATTTTTTATTTTTATCGAGACGGACTCTTGCTCTGTTGCCCAGGCTAGAGTGCAGTGGCGCAGTCTCGGCTTATTGGAAGCTCTTCCTCCCGGGTTCACGCCATTCTCCTGCCTCAGCCTCCCGAGTAGCTGGGACTACAGGTGCCCGCCACCACGCCTGGCTAATTTTTTGTATTTGTAGTAGAGACGGGGTTTCACCGTGTTAGCCAGGATGGTCTCGATCTCCTGACCTCGTGATCCGCCCGCCTTGTCCTTCCAAAGTGCTGGGATTACAGGCGTGAGCCACCGCACCTGGCCATAGTTTCACATTTTCATATTCCTTAACTTCTTAGCATGAAAAATTTTAAACCTATGAAACAGCTGCAAAAAGAGTGCCACAAATACTTGTATACTCGTTACCTAGAGTCACCACTTGTTAACATTTTGATTCGGATATTTGCTGCCTTTTTCTTTTTCTCTTTTCTTTTTTCTTTTCCCTCCCTCTCTCTTTCCCTCCCTACTTCCTTCCCTCCCTTCCTTCCTTTGTTTGTTTTTGATTAGAGACACTTGAGCCCAGGCTGGACCTAAACTCCAGGCTGAAGCTTCCTCCTGTCTCAGCCTCCGGAATAGCTGGGATAACAGGTGTGAGCCCCCATGCCTGGCATTCCCTTATTTCTTTTTTACAGGCATAAGCTTGCTCTCCATACACAGGTGCACACACTTACTTAACTGAACCGTTAGAGAGTTGTAGATATCAGATCATTTCACCCCTTCTTGAAAAAACAGGGCATTCTGTGTAGCTCTAATTGCCTTATCACACTCAGGAAACTTAGCGCTAATTTATCTACTATTACTAAGACAAACAATGTAAACTCATATTTTTTCAGTTGTCCTAATAGTGTTCTTTTTCCTCCCAATTCAGGATCCAGTGAAGAACTGCACATTGCATTTAGTTGTCATGTTTCTTTAATTTTCTTTTCTCTGGAAATTTCCTTAGCTTCTTTTTGTGACACTGGCATTCTGACAGATGACATTGATATTTGAAGAGTCTGAATCTAACCCAGTTGTTTTGAAGACTGTTCCTCAGTTTGGAATTCTCTGACTGTATCCCCATGGATAGATTTGAATGAAACATCTTGGGGCTGGATTACTCTGAGGGATGTGTCTTTCTCATGCGTCACATCATTGGTGCTGTGAAATTGGATAACTTGATTAAGTTGATGTCGGTCTGGTTTCACCGTATCCTGTTGCCAACAACCTGTCATTTAGTGGTGGTTACAGTCACTTCTCAAGAATAAAAACTGCCTTTAAAAAAATTTCCCATACATACAGCTCGTTTAGGACTTCATAAAAGGTAGATAAGGTACCTCTTGACATTTTATTAAATAAAGAAAGGCCTGGCATACATGGGCATTTATACTGTGAGTATTTGGCTGGGTTTAAAAAACAATTTATCTTCCTGATAAAAATCAATGGATAAATCAGCTTCTGTCAGCCAGAGTCTGCAAAATGCAGTACGTGTGTAAACATCGATTGTTCTCTTGATCCCAAAACACAGATTCATTAAAACTTATGTGAAAGAGAGTTTTCCTCCTTTATATTTGTTCTAGAAGAGGCAGAGGCTGTTCTTTGGATTCTTGCATTACAATATTGACTTGTTTAGTGGGGTAGTAACTTGGAATGGCCAAGGACAAATTTCCCAGAGCGTGGAATGTTCTGAGTGACAGAGAAGGGGCCATGATTTGGAAATGAAGTTGTAACAGTGCACCTGGAATGGATCCATTGGCCCCGAAGAGAAATAACATTCATATTTTTTTCTCCAGTCAAGTATTCCAGGAAGAGATGTCTTAATGCCTCATATTGTGTAGAGCACAGGGAGTTATAACTCAATTTCAAGCAAAGATAGGAGGAAGCCAGTGGGCTGATTTCCTGATTAAGTAGGCAAAGATGACATGTGGTTTGATTTGTCATTTTCAATTTTAAATGAACTGCATCACATGCACTAATTATGCATTGTCCTTCCTGTGTTAGGTTCCTTTCAAATATGATACTCTGTGACTTGAGTGTGTTTGTGGTCATTTGGGCAAAGCAGCACTTTTGTGAAATCGTAGCTTGAATCACTGGTAGCATTTGGATCACTGGTAGCACAGAGCTGATTTGATTACAGTGCTGATATCACTGTGCTGATGACCTAAGGCCTAGGTCGAGCCTTGTTGGTTTTGCTTTATTTATTGGCTGGGAAGTCACCTCTCTGTTTGGTCCGTGCTTTTGAAATCTTGGGTCATCATTTGCATCATCTCGCCGCACTCCTGGTTTAAGAAAATACAGGTGTCTCTGTTGCACATTATGTCAAGTGCAGACCCCTCTACCTGATTTTTCAGGATTCTGCATTACGAATTTCCATTCATCCAGTCCAGTCTCATTTCCCACAATTCCGTAGTTACCTTCCACTTTGTTTAGACTTCTTACTGTGTGACCTTGAGCAAGTTATTTAATTTCTGAATCTTGACTTCCTCTCTATACAGTAGGGATCATATGAATAGCTCCTACATCAGAGGGGTTTTAATGAGAATTAGCTGAGATAACATCTTTTAAAAATAATAGTCTTCCATTATGGAAATGTTAATACAAGTACCAAGAACTATTCTAAACTTTTAAAATTTGTTGTCTCACTTCATCGTAACAGTTTGATGAGGTAGGAGGAGCTGGTGGTAGTGGTAGTTGCACAGGTAGTGGTAATGATAATGTTGGCGCTTATTGAGCACTTACTATGTTCCAGGTACTTTACATGTTTCCAGTGAACCCTGTGAACAGTCTTACAAGGCTGATGCTATAATTGCCATTTCATAGATAGGAAATTTAAACATAATGAGATTAAGTAACTTGCCCAGAGTCACACAGCCAAAGAATTCAGGAGCTGGATTTAGAATCCAGGCCATACTTTTAGATACTAGTTTCATCCCATTTTTATTGTAGAAGGAAAACTTAGGGAGTAATTAGCTTAACTAAAATTCTCACAGCACATAAATGGCAGAGCTAGAATATGAACCCAAGTCTTGATTTCAAAACTATGCTCTTTGTCATACTCCACTGCCTCCAGACTGCTGAAACAATGCTTTCTGTTGTGCTATTGTAGGGTGGATTGATTGTGATTTAATATATGTAACATCGTTGTGTTTCTTCACTCAGGAAAGATGGCATATTGCCTGGATTAACTGTTACACAGGGAACCAGGCTTTTGGCCGCTGCTTGCCACCCTGACTCTGCCTGTTGAGTTGATGTAGGTGGTGAACACCCTTGGAGCGCAGTGGATATTTGGCAGGATACTTGACCATGGCTGGAATTCCCAGTGGTGACATTAGTGTTAAGTGGCCCATTTCTGTTGATTCAGCAGGAGGACGTGGCTAGCCCAGGATGTCAGTAGCTGATGGGAGGCAGACAGTAATGGGGAGAGGACATGGCTGTGTGATGGGACAGCACTTTGATCCCAAGTCTGCTCTGAAATTGCCCACAGCTAGCTAAACCATGTTGGACTTAAGACACTTTCTCAATTTCAATTTTAGGTTGTAGGCCCTAAATTCAAAAAGTGGACTACTACATCTTGACAGGAATTCTTTTACAGATATTTGATACCCAGAAAGGGGTGTGAGCGCAGACTGATGATAGCTTACTTTTCTTTTTCAGGAAGGATGCCAGTTCTGCGCTTCTCAGTAACTACGAGGTAAATTGGACTGTTACATTTTCCTCTCTGATAGTTTGCCCTTTGTAACTAAGATTGTTAAATTCATTTTGGTTAGAAATGACTGAATTCAGGCTGGGCGCATTGGCTCATGCCTGTAATCCCAGTACTTTGGGAGGCTGAGGCGAGTGGATCACTTGAAGTCAGGAGTTCAACACCAGCCTGGCCAACATAGTGAAACCTAGTCTCTACTAAAAATACAGAAATTAGCCAGGTGTGGTGGCACGTGCCTGTAGTCCCAGCTACTTGGTATCCCAGATGAGGCAGGAGGATCACTTGAACCCAGGAGGCAGGGGTTGCAATGAGCCAAGATGCGCCACTGCACTGCAGCCTGGGCAATAGAGCAAGGCTCCGTCTAAAAAAAAAGAGAAAAAAGAAATGACTGAATTTATTTGGATTTTCCGCTTTAAAACAAGACATATGGCACCATCTGGTGGACCTTGTAATAGTGTAAGCTTGATACGTTATACATAGTACTTCAGGGAAGCTGGGAAGACTAATTTAGAGGTGGCAACCTTCTTTAAATCTCAAAGATTCTAGATCATCATTTGGGATGTAGTCATAGTATAGAAGCTATGTCTAATATCTAAAAGTATTTTAAGGCTGTTTCTCTCTGCAAAATTTCACATTACATTTTTTATGCTTTTTCCTAATTATCACCCTTGATATATTTATATATTTATAATGCTTTTATACATTGCAAATAGTCTTATGGGTATTCATATCCTTATTTTGAAAGTGAGTTTAGTTTGAGCGCGGTGGCTCACGCCCATAATCCCAGCACTTGGGAGGCCAAGGCAGGAGGATCACGAGGTCAGAAAATCAAGACCATCCTGGCCAACATGGTGAAACCCCGTCCCTACTTAAAAAAAATAAATAAATAAAAGTGAGTTTAGTTGACTCACCTTTCTGAATAGTAGAAATTAAGAAATGTAGAATTTTTTGGGCTTAGGGTGGGATTGCTGGAGAAAGGAAAAGAAGGAAAAAGGTTGGTAAGAGAGGAAATATTCCAGCATTTTTGCCTCCTATTTGGCACTAGCAAAACCATCTGATAGGCTAACTCTAGGTGTAGAAAGAACCATTTCTACCTTGATTGTGAATTTTCCATGTGCCAGAGTCTAAACTCAGGAAGACTCAGAGGAGGTCTAGAAGGTAGTAGGTTAAATGCGGTGACTCACGTCTATAATCTCAGCACTTTGGAAGGCCAAGGAGAGAGGATTACTTGAGGCTATGAGTTAGAGATCAGCCTGGGAAACATAGCAAGACCCCATCTTTTTTTTTTTTCTTTTTTTTTTGAGACAGAATCTCGCTGTGTCGCCCAGGCTGGGTGCAGTGGCCGGATTTCAGCTCACTGCAAGCTCCGCCTCCCGGGTTCATGCCATTCTCCTGCCTCAGCCTCCCAAGTAGCTGGGACTACAGGCACCTGCCACCTCGCCCAGCTAGTTTTTTGTATTTTTTTAGTAGAGACGGGGTTTCACCATGTTAGCCAGGATGGTCTCGATCTCCTGACCTCGTGATCTGCCCGTCTCGGCCTCCCAAAGTGCTGGGATTACAGGCTTGAGTCACCACGCCCGGCCAAGACCCCCATCTCTTTTAAAAAAAAAAAAAAAACATTAGCTGGGCATGGTAGCAAACACCTACTATGGTCCTAGCTACTTGGAAGACAGAGGGGAGGTTCCCTTGAGCCCTGGAGTTTCAGGTTACAGTGATCACCACTGTACTCCAGCCTGGGAGACAGCCTTTGAGACCCTGTCCCCAAAAAAAGCTCCCAGAGTTGAAGACAGCAAAAAGAAAGAAAGAAACCTCCCCCTTGTGCCCCCCACCCCGCCCCACAAATTAGAAGGTAGTAGAATAGACACAGTTGGCCATATTCTTTCCTCCCTAAAGGCTCAATCGTAAATGGTTGCAGCTTAGAACAGGAAGGAAATGGTTGAATGGTCATTGGCCAAGCCTTTGGCTTTTACGAGCCTCCTTGTCCAGTTTGGACTTTGCTAGGTGTTTGGGTGTTTTATCCGTTGGGGAAACATTGCATTCATTGATATCATGTCACTATTTCTGAAAGGAACAGCAGACGAAAGGGGTTCCATTATATCTAGTAATGGTGTGTGAGCCTGCATTTTCTTCACTTCTCTGGTAGAATCTCTAAAACAGGAATGAGATTGAGATTCCCCCCTGCCCCCAGCACTAATGCCTGTATGTTTTATCCTTGTGGGGAAAGTTTACTTCTAAAGATCCATAGCATTTTTTCCTTTCTTTTTTTTGGGGAGGTAAACTCTGTCTTATCACTTGCCTCAAAATTTTTATTTTCCAGAAAGAAATCATTATATTAGATTTTTATACTAGAGAAGCAGAATTCTTTTTTTTTTTTTTTTTCCCAGAGGGAGTCTCGCTCTGTCACCTAGGCTGGAGTGCAGTGGCACCATCCAGGCTCACTGCAACCTCTGCCTCCCAGGTTCAAGTGATTCTCCTGCCTCAGCCTCCCGAGTAGCTGGGATTACAAGCACGTGCCACCACATCCAGCTAATTTTTTGTATTTTTAGTAGAGACAGGGTTTCACCGTGTTAGCCAGGATGGTCTTGATCTCCTGACCTCGTGAACTGCCCGTCTTGGCCTCCCAAAGTGCTGGGATTACAGGCATGAGCCACCGTGCCTGGTCACATAATTCTTTTTTAGCAAAATATTTGTTTTAAGAAAATCTGCTTTCAAATAGTATATTTTTGAGATCAGAGGAGATTAGTGATGTATATATTGATAGGAAATACTTGAAATATTTTAAATAAATTAATGAATTTGGATTATTTGGCTTATATAAGAGCATTTTTTAAAAATGTCATCTGCCTCTAAGACTCATTTGCTCAAATCCAAGAGTTGGAAGCTGCGTAATGGGCGGGTGAAAGGAAGTACTACCCTTTCCTGTTTATCCTTCCAAACCACTGACCTTGGATAGATATATTTCTCAAATGTATTCATAAACATCTTTTTTGTATCTCCTTCTAGGTGTTTCAGTTACTAACTGATCTGAAGGAGCAGCGTAAAGAAAGTGGAAAGAATAAACACAGCTCTGGACAACAGAACTTGAACACCATCACCTATGAAGTAAGCCTGGGCTTCTGGCAGACCTACCTAAAGTACCACTGAGGGAGAGGGGTTTATTCTCCCAGTGACTGGCTGCCGAAATCAAGATCACTTTTTATGTGATCTGAATAGTTTTACTCTAACCTGATTTTGTTTGTTTGTTTGTTTGTTTTTTGAGACGAAGTCTCCCTGTGTTACCCAGGCTGGATTGCAGTGGCACGATCTCCGCTCACTGTAAGCTCCACCTTCCAGGTTCACACCATTCTCCTGCCTCAGCCTCCCGAGTAGCTGGGATTGCAGGCATGCAGCACCTTGCCCATCTAATTTTGTATTTTTAGTAGAGACAGGGTTTCTCCATGTTGGTCAGGCTGGTATCAAACTCCTGACCTCAGGTGATCCGCCCACCTCGGGCTCCCAAAATGCTGGGATTACAGGCGTGAGCCACCGCACCCAGCCATTTTTCTCTTACATAAAAGTTGTAGAGACAGTGCTGGGAGTTTTCATGTACCCTTCCCATAGTTTTCTCTGATGTTAACATCTTACATAACCATGGTACAGTGATCAAAACCAAGAAATTAACAGTGGTACATACTGCTAAACTAAGCTAAAATTTTATTTGAATACCTTGTTTTCCCATTGCTGTCTTCTGGGTTCCAGGATTCAATTCAGGATACCATTTTGTATTTAGTTAACATGTCTCCATCATGTCATTCGATCTGTATCCTTACTCTTCCTTTGTCTTCCATGACCTTGACACTTCTAAAGGGCTTGTCAAGTATTTTGTAGAATGTCCCTTGATTTCTGATTGTCTGATGTTTTCTTATGATTACACAGAACCTATGGCTTTTGAGGAAGGGTACCACAGAGGTGATCTCCCCTTCTTGTGTCATGATTTCTCGGGGTACATGATGTCGATGTTTCTTATGGCTAATGTTGTTAACTTTGGTCATTTGGTTAAGATGGTATCTGCCCGGTTTCTCCACTGTAAAGCTACTGTTTCTTCATTTCCATATTATGTTAGAAAGGATTCACCAAGTTCCGCCCATATTCAAGGGGAAGGGGGAGATTAAACTCCACCTCTTGAAGGGAGGGATGTCAAAGAATTTGTGGATGTGTGTTAAAACCACCACAGTAATTAAAAAATATTTTGTGGGAGATGCTTTGAGGCTATGAAAACAGCCTACCCTTCCTTAAGCTTTTAACCATCAATTTTAGCACTCATTGGTGGATCTTTCCTGCAGTAATTATAACTATGGTACAATTGCCTGAGAGTGATTTATAATTTTTCTCATTCTATGCTTATTAGATACATTTTTTTTTTTTATTTTAAGAGGCAAGATTTTACTGTGTTGTTCAGGCTGGTCTCAAACTCCTGGGCTCAAGTGATCTTCCCGCCTTGGCCTCCCATAGTGCTGGGATTACAGGTGTGCACCACTGTACCCAGCTCATATGAGTTAGAATTCTTCCATGAGAAAAAGTTGTCTCTTCTGGCTGGGCACAGTGGCTCACGCCTGTAATCCCAGCACTTTGGGAGGCTGAGGCGGGCAGATCACGAGGTCAGGAGATTGAGACCATCCTGGTTAACAAGGTGAAACCCCGGCTCTACTAAAAATACAAAAAAATTAGCCAGGTGTGGTGACAGGTGCCTGTAGTCCCAGCTACTGGGGAGGCTGAGGCAGGAGAATGGCGTGAACCTGGGAGGTGGAGCTTGCAGTGAGCGGAGATCACACCACTGTACTCCAGCCTGGGCAACAGAGCAAGACTCTGAGACTCTGTCTCAAAAAAAAAAAAAAGTAAAAGTTGTCTCTTCCTACCCATTATTTTATTCACTCATATATATCCATGTGGACTCATGGCAATTTATTTTATTCTTTGGGTTCCCCCTCTTTTAAAAAATTGTTCAAAATATGATAGCACAATTGTCAGATTGAGGTTTTTTTTTTGAAATCAGAAAAATTTTCTTCTAAAATTTCATTAATTATTCTTCCTGTTCTAGCTACTGATTTTCTCTTTCAGGAATTCCAATTACATGAAGATTGGTTCTCCTGAATGCCTCTTTGTTTTATATAGGATTTTCTTTTCTTTTCTTTCCTTTTTTTTTTGAGACAGTCTCAGACTCTGTTGTCCAGGCTGGAGTGCTATGGTGCAATCTCGGCTCACTGCAACCTCTGCCTTTCGGGTTCAAGTGTTTCTCCTGCCTCAGCCTCCCTAGTAGCTGGGATTACAGGCATGCACCACCACACCCAGCTAATTTTTTGTATTTTTGGTAGAGATGGGGTTTCACCATGGTGGCCAGGCTGGTCTCGAACTTCTGACTTCAGGTGATTTGGCCACCTCGGCCTCCCAAAGTGCTGGGGTTACAGGTGTGAGCCACCGTGCCCAACCTCTACAGGATTTTTAAAAACAAAATTTTAGAATTTTAATTACAGCCATTTCCTTCGTTTTTTCTCATTCAGGGTTGTCTTATGCTTGGCTTTTTTCTTTTTTTCCAGACGTTAAAATACATATCAAAAACACCATGCAGGCACCAGAGTCCTGAGATTGTCAGAGAATTTCTCACAGCAATGAAAAGCCACAAGTTGACCAAGTAAGTAAATCTCTTAAGTAGGAAGAGAGTGACACATGGTGAAATGATGGCTGAGGAAAGCCATTCGAAGCTACGGTGTATTGATACTCAGCTGGGTTTGGATTTAAAGGAGGATTATAGTATTGTAGATGAAACAACTGAAAGTTAGACATAGGGACTAGAGTAAGGAACAAATCTTTTTTTTTTTTTTTTTTTTTAATCAATGAAGAAAGTTCATTTCTCCTAGTGATACTGTATTAGTGTGCCTGCTTATTCGGCAAAATTAGCAGAGATAATTTACATTCTCAAAAAAGATGGGTGAGGGGAAATGGAAATGCCTTATGGAAAAGAAGGCAAATTTAGGTCATGGGTAGAGATCTCAATCAAATGGGCCAAAATACAGTTTATTTATATCTGCTAACTCCCAACTGCTAGCATCTGACCACAGCATGACAAGATTGGAATCGGGGAACCTGGGCTCTAGTCCATTTTCTGCCCCTTACTAGCACCATGACCTTGGAAAAGGTATTTGACCTCTCTGAGTTTCATTATCTTCACCACTGAGATAAGGATCATCTGCTAAACTCACAAGGCTGGGGCAAGGGTGAAGGGTGGTGTCTTCGTGGAAATAATATGTGTAGATGTCCTTTTTGGACTCCAGAAGCCATAAATGATGCAACCTTATTTATTAATCATTACTGTGAACAGGGCCAAACATTTCTATATTATTAACACTGCCTCTACCCTAACGATTCAATTCAGGTAAACTTTACAGAGCACTTCACTCCAAGAGCTGAGGATCAGGGCCACTTGGTTCTTACCTACACAGTGCCTCGAAACCAAAATTGGTAGAACCAATAGTTCTTCTCTTAAAGCGGGACCCATCTAGCCTTCCATTATCTAGATGAAAATGAGCTTACTAATTTAGAAACACAAGTGAGTGTATTCTAGGCTAACGAAATTAATTCTTCTCTAATTATTGAGAGCATTAAATGTCACGAGCTGATCTCAAAATGTTAGTAAAATAAGTTAAATTGTTTTGAAAGGAAGGAAATGTGATAATGTGATAGAAATGGGGAAAAAACAAGACAGAATTCAAATATTATATTAATCAAGTACTAACTCTGGTTTGACTGGGTAAATGCAGGAGAAGACCTTCCTTCCTTCCTTATTTATTTATTTATTTATTTTTATTAACTTTAAGTTCTAGGGTACATGTGCACAGCGTGCAGGTTTGTTACATATGTGTACATTTGCCATGAGGAACACATCTTAATGGGGTGTAAAAATCTTTTCTTGGCCGGGCGCAGTGGCTCATGCCTGTAATCCTAGCACTTTGGGAGGCCGAGGCGGGCGGATCACCTGAGGTCGGGAGTTCGAGACCAGCCTGACCAGCATGGAGAAACC